GATTTTAAGATAATTTATCAATCCAAAAAATAATAAGGTTTATTAAATGTCCTTTTTAGATGTTTTTATCTTGCACAAAGGAAAGAAATGTATTTTTTGATCAACAAAGAATAATTTTTTTAAAGCCAAAGTATTTTTATCTTTGAGCGATAAAATCAACATTGATATTAAATAAATTCAAATAAGTATATCCTTTGATCTTCTTATTTATGATATCAAGAAAAGATAATATTTTACTTTTTATCTTTTTTTTTAGCTTCTATATATATTATGGTGCTAAAGAGATAGAGGACCAACAACTAGCAGATTCAACTTAAGAGCTATCATTTGTTGATTTGCCAAATGAAACATTGTAATTGTCTCAACTTTTAAGATAACATAATCAAAATAAAGATTCTTAGGAATTTTTATTTTTTTTTGAATAAATAATAAGATACAATATGTTTGGTATCATGACCTTTGAAGAGATTTTTGATGTTTGATAATTTTATTAGACATTGTAATTTTTACAACCTTTAAGACAATAAATCGAGATGAAGATGCTCAAGAATAATATTTCTTTTCTTGAATAATGACAAGATATAATGTGTTTGATATTACAACCTTAGAAGACTCTCAATGTTTGGAAATTTTATTAGATGTAGAAACAACTCTTGATGGTATTTCAGATATTTTATTTGAAAGAAGTTACAAAGGCCTCAACAATAGTCAAATAATAGGGTGGTCTTTTTGCCCTAGTATAGGAAATTATCAATGCTTGAGAAGGCCTATCAATTATCTCCAAAGAGAATAAAGATTGGAATATGTGGCAAATATAATTTACCACATCTTGGATTTCTTCAACATATGAAGATCGCTCTTTGTAGAACTTGTCCCTAGAAATGGAGGTAATGTCACGAACAAATATAGATATTCTAATAAATACCTATATAATTAGGTAGGAGTAGATAAAAGTAAATAAAAGTAGGTTAATTTTATAAGACCTTTTAGAGAAGCTTCTTAGAAGCTTCATAGATGCTACTTGATTTTACATGAATTTGTAGTTGATTGATAGATTAGAAACTTGGTCAACAAATTAACCTTGTGTTCATAGCTTATGAAACAAGCACACTATGTACTACACATATAGAAAATTTACTTTACAAGTTAAGATACATGTTTTGCAAAGTCAACATGTTTTAGAGGTCCTATAAGACATTGTCAGATAGCTCCTAGTTAAGAGTATATATAGAGGTAAGAGTGAATCCTTCTTCACTCTTATCAATCCCTTTTTAGTCCTTAGTCTTATTTCAAGACTTTCTCATTTTTTTATTTTTGGCAATAGCCATTCTATTTCAATATTATATCATCTTTGAGTGACTTTTTAGTTCTTTCTAGTGTCATAAGAGTGTATTGAAGAATTCTTTTTTTAAGATTCATATCTTTAATAAGATACTTTCATGTACTTGTCTCATTTTTTTTTTTAATTTTTGAAACAACTACTAAATCTAAGGTTTTAATTATCATATCTTTTAGAACTTGATAGATTTTCATTTCAAAAGAGTAGAATTTTAAAAATCTAATGATATTCTTTCTATTAAATCTTGTCACCTTGCAAATAATATTCTTTAATGCTTTAGCAGCTTCTTGCCAAATTGCATTGGTAACTTGTTGGCCCATGAACATTTGCATAGACCTTAAAAATTATTTTCTAAGATTTTGACTACTTCCATTATTTAAGCCTCCTTACTTTGTATTCCCTATTTTGACTTATTGAGAAATTATTCTCTTAAGGCTCTCTCAATGGAAGTACAAATAATATCATAATAGAAAGAGTTTGCCTCAAAAAAGGGTTGGGTCTCTAAATACTATTAATTACTCAAACAAGTTATAAGTTTATATAATAAAAATCTTATTTATAGCTTATTTTTATAAAAAAAAATACTTCAAATATATAAGTCTTAGATGCAGAAGAATTCTCAAGATATGACTAAATATCCTAAGTCCACTTCTAGTCTTTTGGAGATTCTTTTCAAATTTATATTATCCAATAACTTCTAATCTTATTGTTTCGTTGGACTTAAACTTCTTTATAGCTTAATTGATACCTTTAACTATCTCCACAAAAATAATCAACTATAAATTTATTACAAATCTTCAGATATTCCTTAATTTTTAGTGGATGCTAAATATGTCAATTTTCAAACATCTACGCATTAAAACCACCATATCTTGTAAATCAAATACTCAAATATTATAAAATTTCATATGCAACTTCTTAACATAGCTATCTATACTCATAGAAATTTTGAGCCTTAAACTCAAGATATGGTCTGAATCAAAATCTCCATGAAAGAACTTACTTATAAACTCTAATTTTGAAGCATTGACTTCTAACAACTCTTTTTCTTTTATTCCAAATTGAAATTTATTGATTCTTTCACATAAAATGTACCTCCTCAAGTCAAATTTTGAACCTCTATTTGCAATCTCTAAAAGTTCTTATACAACTCAAAAAAGATGGCAATAGATACAATTACAAGATCTTAACTACAAGTACCCATTTTTCTCTCATAAAAACCTCAAATTCCTTTATTTTTGCATAAAAATTGTAGCCAATATAAGTAAACAAATTCTAACTTCTAAACTTCAAATGGCCACCTTAAAATGGCCTTAAACTTTAATATGGTCTTGGATAACATCTTGAAGCATATTATGCATGACCTTCAATCAATGGAAATGAAGTCTTCTATTAACTTGCCTTATTTTTCTACATGGGATGGACTAGAAGTCAAAATATTATACCCTTGACACCAAAGCCTTTTTAAACTTCTTACTAATTAAGCCTATAACTTCTATCTTTAATCACAAAATTTAAATTATAAATTTAAATAAATTAAATAAATTAATATATATATATATATATATATATATATATATATTAATTGTAATCCAAACTTTCATAGCATTTCATATTATTTTCACATATTATGCTATTTTTCAGTACGTGATTATTGCTCTTCATGGAATTTGGCTCTAAAAAGAGAAGAGAAGTAATATTACAAACATACATAATTATATAATTAAAAAATATTAGATAGAAGGTAAATAAAGGTAGATTTGATAATATATTATAAAAAAAACTTCATAAAAGCTTCATAGACATAAATTTGACTTTAGATGTATTTGTAATTTATTAATAGGTTAGAAACTCGACTAATAATTTAAACATATATTACACATGTTGACAACTTGTGGTATAAGTTGGCCATATGGCGCACATAAAAGAAACTTGTCTTGCAAGTTAGACATGTGTTGGAGGTTCTATAGAATATTGTCATATAACTTCTAATTAGATAGTATATATATAAGCAACAATCAAACCTTCTTTACTCTTATCAACAACTTTCTTGTCTCTTTTCTTATTTCAGAAGACTCTAATTTTCTTATCTTTGGCAATAGCCATTCTAATTCAATATTATACCATCTTTGAATACTTATCTATTATTTTTTAGTGATATAAGATTGTATTGAATATTTGATTCTTTGATTTTCATATCTTTGACAATCTTGCAAATTGAATATTGTTAGAGGTCCTATAGAATGTTGCTACATAGTTTCTAGTTAGATAATATATATGGAGGCAATAGTGAAGCCTTCTTCATTCTTGTCAATGCCTTTCTTGCCCTTAGTCTTGTCTTAAAAGTTTCTAGTTTTTTTGCCTTTGGCAATAGTCATTTTAATTTAATATTATACTATCTTTGGTAGTTATCTAGTCTTTTGTAGTAACATAAGCATGTATAGATCTTTTGGTTCTTTGTGATTTATATTCTTAACATTAATTTATTAATCCAAAAAAACAAAGTATGTTTTATTCAAAAAAAATTCAAACCATTAAAAATTAGAAGAAATCATTATAAATCAAATACTTATAATTTTTTAATTTTTTTTTTCATAATAAAAACTAATCATCAAAGAATATTTCAAAAGTACAATCTTATAAATAAAAGATAAATTACAACTGATGATAAGACTAAATAAATTTTTAGAATATTTTAGAGCTTTATATAAGAATATAAATATTAATATGTGCAATTCTAAAGATTTATGAGTATTTTTTGTGGTTTTTTTTAACAAAATTAATATTTTTATGTCAAATTTGTTTTATTTCCTACCTTACAACAACAAAATTTGACATAAAAATATTTAAAAAAAAAATTTAGACTTTAGTTACATTACTTTAAGAATGTGGCATGGACTTGGTAGTTGAAAAGTCAATTTAAGAGGACTTTTTAAAGACCAAATCCGAAACCAAGTAATTAAATTGAATTTATTAATACTAAAATTTAAATTTGATATATATTTTTTTTGAATGGATTTGTATATCTATTTTGATATGTTTATGTCTTTTTATTATTGTATAATTTAAAATAAAAATAAAATAAATTATATTTATAATAGATTTCATTCTAATATAACATTCAATCAAGATAAATGTGGAGGTTTTTTTTTTTTTTTTTTTTTTTTTTTTTGTAGATTTTTGTTGAGTATTTTAGATTTCCTCAAACAATAATCATTTGGAAAGAAGACATTATAATTCTTAGAGCTAAAGACGAGTTATTTGTAATGTTCAAGTTGGTTGCACTATTGCTTAAAACTGATTTAAAATGTGACATTGGTTTTGAATTGTCATATAGTATCTATTAGATCCATTCCATACAATTACATTCTTATTTCATCTCCTTAGATAAATAAATAAAAACACCAATTCATACAAGAGATAGAAAATATTAAAAAAGAATAAAGAAACCTAACCTATCTACCCTTTACATTCACATGCCTCTCAAAACAGCTCACAAACACGACAAAATTCATCAATTCTAAGATACAACAAAAGAAGATGAGACATGAGGTTACAAACGCCTGCCCACCTGCCCGCCTGCCCGAAGAAAAAACGGGGCTCGCCCGGGCCCGGGACGCCCACGGCACGACCACCCGTGGGCGTTGCCAGCATCCCAGCAGGTGGGAGGAGCCATAGTGGCGAGGTGGAGATTAGGGACTCTCTCCCCCGCACGCATGCATTCTGTTGTGTGGTATCTGCCTCGATCCACTCCAATTCCCTTGCGATCGTCGCATTAACTCAAGGTGGAAACAGTTAATATCATTGCTTGCCCCTCGCAGGATGTTACAATCCATTGTCCCACTCAATCTCTCGAGGTGCTCACAAGCCATCTTAGGGTTACCACCATGCCAGTCTTCGCACTCTCGACTGCACCAGGGCTAAACCAGAAACTAGGGTTATAATCAGTTTTTGAAAGGAAAGAAGAGGAGAGAAGAGTAGAGAAGGGGAGGGAACAGCGATTACAGCAGGGGTTGACGAGTTCGATCTACTGCAACTAAGGAGAAAGTTGTTTTGCATCGGGATTGATATGGTGTGAGTGTGGTGGCTGAGCATACTTGAGTTGATTTGTGTGTTATTGGGATGAGGTAAATGATGTGGTCTCTGTGTAGTTTCTTGAGGACTGGGTTATTTAGCTGTGTAGGTTTTGGCTGCCGGTTAGAGACGTCGGGATGTGTACAATTTGGTAGGTTTTGTTTTGTTTGGTTACGAAGCTGTGGATGTTTTTTGTGCAGGCTGGAGTAGGGACGGGTGTGTAGCGGAGGGTGGAGGTGAGGACGGGGTTGTTTGATGTCTCAGCCACGAGTGACAGTCACCTTAGGGCGTGGTGGGAAGCGGGTAAGCCATTGCGTGTGCGTCGTGGTTGTGCGGTTTCTCGCATTGAAGTTTATGGCGAGAATTGGAGTATAAGAATGCGAGAAAACGAGTTGTAGGGTTTAGGTGTGCATTGAGTGGCTTGCTTGGATGCGTTGGTTTTTTTTAGAGGTTATGGTGAGGCTGTTTCTGTTTCTGAGTTGTGTGCTTAGCGTGTGAGCCTTACGAAACCCGCTAGCTTTTTCACACTTTAAGGGCTGAACTGTATCTAGAGAGGAGACATGTCATCTAAGGGTTCAGATGGTTTAAGATACACAGAACGTTTTAGTGTTCGAGGGTGAAAGGGATCGGAAGTGTTGTGTGTTATCATGTCACAGTTCTTCGGTTGAGCAGTGTCAATGAGGGCAACATTGGGAATTTACTTGGAGTTTAGATGCCGAATTACTTTTAATTAGCGTCGCTCATGAGAGATATCAGACAATTTTCATAAATTGTGGTTTTGAAGACCATGACCGAGAGTTTTGAAGAAAGTGCAGTAAAATGATAACAATATACGTTTCATGGGTTGTCTGACACAGGTGGAGAGGCGTGTGTCAGTTCGTACAGAGATGTACGCTGATTGCGTGAATGGGGTAGGGAATAGGAAGCGATCAATCAGGGATCGATTGGGAGGCTTAAGCGAGCCGGTATTTACTGTACCACAGTCAGCTGCCAAAAGGTGATTTCTCGCTATATATGTCAAAGTGCGAAATTTCAGAAAGACTGGAAGACATTTCTTTATGCAAGCCTGGGAAGGATCCGACAAGTTGTGGATGCTGCTTCATGAACTCGATTGATATTTAAAATCAGGTTCTCCATTGAATGTATGCAGGCTAAGAGACGTCGAAGGACAATGGAAGCATGATATGTACTTTGATGGCCGTGACGGCGGTCCTCGAGTCCAACGTATCTCTTTTATAATTATTTTGCCAAGTCGTCCGTTGGTGAATTGTGCTATATTCGCAATCTGCTCTTTTTATATTTTTTTATTTAATTTCCCCTCTTCTTTTCTTTTATAGAATCATATTGTGGTTTGTGTCTTCGCTTTTGTTTCATTCTGTGGATGCAATTTGGTACGTCTAGATTAAAAATGTTGACCGGAATTTCAATAGTGGGATCTGTTACATCCTTGACTAGAGCTGGTTGCACAGGGGAACAAGATTTGCGCTCAAAATTAGGTCAAAGACAAGGTTTCAGAACTGGTAATCAAGCAAGAGCTGGAAACAATGTGGACTTGCGGGACAAGTTGTCAGGTCTCGGTAGTCAGAATCGTCAAACCGTACCAGCAAATGAAGTCCCTAGAGCACAGCGGCGAGTAGCGTCTGTGGTTTTCAACAGTTCAACTGTTACACGAGGTGTGGCCTCAACCACTGCCCCTGCTCCTGTCTCAGCCAGGGCAACTGCAACGGTCAAGAAACCCTCGGATGTACCAATGGTACACAATCTAGTTCTTCTTATTTTGAAATCTCAGTCACGAAAATTCCATGCATTCAGATCTCAAGTAAGGGTTGTTTGGCCTTCTTGCTTGCTGAGAAAATTTGTTGGTTTTCAGGTCCTTTACTGTACGGTTTTCTTTCACGTTCTCTAGTGCGAAACGCTTAGGTGAACCCTGTATATGAAAATGTGGCAGTTATTTAAACATGTTGGTGAGCGACTCACTAATTCTATTTACTGGTTTTGCTAGGCTGAAGAGCAGACCGTGCGTACTCTTCTGCATTCATTGGGACTGGAGAAATACGTGATAACCTTCCAAACTGAGGAGGTAGTCCTTCTTGGCTTCGATTATCGTTCTTTCTGATCATGTTGAAGGGGTATTGCACTAGGATGAGGTTCCGTTTTCTAACTTTCTGTCATTATTAAGGCCCACATATTAATCAATAAACTCAATTGAGCGTAGAGCTTTGAAATTTATTGAAAAATTACTGACTAAAATCTCAAACTTGTCTTTTGTTGCTTCTTTCAGATTGATATGGCTGCTCTGCGATTCATGAGTGACAACGATCTAAAAGAACTGGGTGTTCCTATGGTAATCTCCATATTATCCTTTCTTTAGGTTCTTGTTCTCTTCTGAAGTGTAAATTCCTACACATTGGGGGAAACTGTAGCCATGGTAGCTTTAATATCTTTTAAACATAAGCTTTATTGACTGTTGTGCATCTTCAACAGGGTCCGAGGAAGAAGATCTTACTGGCAATCAGGGGTAAGGAGTGAAAGGCTTTTCCTGAGGCGCAAAGAGATGCAGACGGGTCAATGTAGTCTTTGAAGCTCGACGAATTGTTCGGACCCCGTTCATACGAGCGGTGAACGATGAATTACATGAGCTGGACCTCCTTGTCGTGACATAGACAGCAAATGTATGCATAGACCAGTGACTGGTTAGTGTGTACAGATGTAGTTAACAGAGTGGAAATGTTTTTGCAATAGATACTTTGATGTTGATAGTCATGTAGAGGTCTAGTTTAGACTTTGTATCTCTGGCTACTTTAATTAAGCTTGTACTTGGATACAATGTAGGCGAAATTTCTTTTGCTTTTTCTGAACAGAAATGTTAGTTGCAGTGGGATGTTTCATCGTGTGCAAGAATTCTGTTTTCAGAGCAGATTATGGCAAGAAGTTTTTTCCAATGTTGCAGAGGTACATTTGAGTCGGGGTTATGTGTATTTGTAGTTTCTTCAGCTCAATTTATAACGTTTTTTTGCATATAAGGTAGATGTATACAGACATTGTATTGAATGTAAACTGTAAGTTTCACAACTTATCGTCTGTGTACATGTGCGTCGCTGACAACAAAGTTCTCCAGTTTCATTTGAAGCCTTTGAACACAGTTTCATTCGCGTCCATCAAACCTGCATTTTGAGTGAGCTTAAATCTAAAGTGCAGTTATCAATTGAAATCTGAATCTAACCCAAGTTGATCCATTCATTTTGGAGCCAGGCTGGAACCGCATTGCATAAGCTGTAAATTCTCATAGTGGAATTCTCAAAGATCACTTTGTCGACGTGGGATAAACAACGTTGGTGCTAATGTAACGACAGGATACAAATAATATTGATGCTCATTGATGGAAAATAAGTTTTTTTCTTGTTCGAGGCATCCTCATGTGTTTAAGTTTTTTTCTGTGAGATAATGTCTAGAACAGTTCATCCAATAAAACATTAGTCGTAAAATTTTCTCCCAATTGATTGTGAGTGGTCTGATAAGGATATGTAGAGTATATGAACAACTTGTAGTTGAGGTTTTGTTGTGGAGGCTTAACATTATTCAGGATTTTTACTGTTATTTCATTATTATTATTATTATTTCTAGTGTGATTTCCTTTTTCTTTTTAATTTGTTTGTTTGTTTGTTTTTTGTTTTTTTTGTTTTTTTTTTTTTTTTTTTTTGATGTCATTATATAATATTGTGCAAGATTTTCATAAAACAATTTCTTTATTCTCTGTTCAGCTACGTTTGCAACAGTAACTTTTTCATACATTTATCCAGAATTTTGTAAAGAACTTTTGGTAGTGGTGATGACAGAAAATTTTCAAGGATTCTATAAGAGGTTTGAAAATTATGATAAAATTTGCAATATATGGGCTTTTTGAACTATTTGAGGTTAAATGATATAAAGATGGAATCAACATCTTGGTTTAGTTTAATAATTTCAGGGTCATCATAGACAATTGTTCATTGGCAATGCGAGGCTTCAAATATTCTCGTACCAAATTCTTCTTCCAATATACTAGAACAAGTTTTGGAAAAGGTCATAATGCAGATGAAACACACCCATTTAGATGTTAAAGACAGTACAAACCCGTCAGTTAATACTTCATCGATATTATTGGAAAAGTTATAATAACATAGAAAATTAAAAACATTACAAACAGAGACATAAACGGGCATCATAGCAGCCCATAGAAAGAGTAATAGAAATATATTAGTACATACACTCTTAAAATAAAGTTTAATATATATTTTTGTCAAACATTAAGAATTGAGGTATAATGGAGTTTTGTTGACAATTGAAGGACAAGTACTGAGAATATTGTGCAAAGAGAGCTGCTAAAAGATTGTGCCTGCTGTTAATTTATTTGATTAGTGAGGGTATTATACAATGCGCTGCTGAAAAGTACTCGGAAATGATCATCACAGTAGGATCATTTTTCTTTCAAGGAAGAATTAACTGCAGAAAATGAATCACACTTCACTGCCTCTACCGTGTCTACAAAGTTGGAAGCCCAAACTAAATTGTGATCTCGAAACAATGGTCAGCACAAGGCCAGTGAATTTTGTCACTATTTGCTTAAAAAGCGTAGAGTATCCGCTGGAAAATTACTCCACAAAAACTACGGTAGATAATATGTGTGTTAATCTTCAACTAAGACCTCTCAACGAGAATCTACGAAGTCACAAATTCCTATGCAGAAACTTGGATTCCATGAAGTTCAAAACCTCAAGGTAATGCATAGTTGTGTATGGGAATCAGGAGTGGGTCTCTCACCAGATCAAAACCATGAGATATTGTCTACAAACTCCTGTAATCAATGACGCTTACTTCATCTTCAGGAGCATCCAGATCATGATAACTGTTTGTCAATAAAACGATTGCAGTTAAAAGGAGATAACGATAAACAAAAAGGGCAAGTAATAATGCTTAAATGCAACAATCAAGCGATATCTTAGCGAATCATGCAGGAAATACATAGAATTACTAGCTGAGACACAAATATAATAAGGTAGTAAACCGCACAGCCTACCTGCGCACACCCCGTGGATCGCGGCGCATGCCATGTGACGGCATCATCATGGGAGGTATATCCAAAATACCACCTCCCATCATAGGACCTGGAGCTCCCCTCTTGCCACCTCGAGGTCCTTCCTCTTGATAACCAGAATCAAAGCCCCCAGGGCGAAACGGCCCAGGACCTTCCCTCAAAAATCTCATTGCCACTTCAGGGGGTGCTGGCACAAATGGACCCAAAGGGCTACACACAACGTCCAGATCCAGATGTTAATTTGAGTTGTTCTTTGCTTATAAAATCCAGAGTTTAAAACGGCAGTCCTACTCTCGTGTAGAAATTTGAAGCACGCACAATTCATGCCAGCTGAAACCATAATACGTACGGAAAATACCTAACCAACATATTTTGGCTTCAACAAAATTCAAAAATTATGTCGACTCATAAATAAGGTCAGAACCATAAACCTGACCTATTTTAAGCAATCGAACACCACTTAAACAATTTCTAACCCTGAGCTTTTGGGCGCCATTTACTACTTACCCAGCGCCAGGGACAGGCATCAGCACTTGAGGCGGACCGGGCATGTCTGGCACAAAAAGACCACCAGGTAACCCTCGCAAAGGAGGGCCGTTGAAATGATCGAACATGGGAGGCTCCATCGGTCCACCCTCGAAAGGTCCTCCTTGAGCCGGACCACCTTCGAAAGGAGGGCCACCACCTCCCAAAGGATAGTCACGAGGTGGAGGAGTAAGTTCAAGTCCTCCACGATCAAAACGAGCCTTTTCATCCCGACCACCCCGATCAAAACGTTCTTCTTCCCTGCCTCCTGGTCCTTGTTCGTTTCTTTCACCAGTTCGTGGACCAAATCTGTTATCCCGCGAAGGATGATCAGAAGGCAGCCAATCAGCACCTGCTCGGTTTCCTGGCCCACCGACCGGTCCCGAAAACCCAGGTCGTTGACTTCCTCGTCGACCTCTGTCACCATCTCTCTGAAAGGTTACACTCATAACCCAGTCAATGGTAGTTTCCAAAGAGCATCAACCTAGACTGGCAACGTATATAATCTAGCTCCACTGTGCAACCTGGAACATTAGACAATGATGCAACGTTTTCACCAGCCTTCCAAAGTTACTGGCATGCATACAGATGAGTTACTGGTATCCAAAAGCAGTACCTGTCCAGGCTGTGAAGATGTCACTTGATTAGCACCAGGGGCATCGGGGTCACTGCATCATGGAAAAAAAATAAAAATAAAATTTCGTCAACAAGGGGAAGAACTGAGTTACACGAGATTAGTATACTCCAAATTCAACTGTCCTAGAAATTTGTTCATCGTTTCCTTCAAAAATGATAACAAAAGCTAATTTCAATATCAACTGGGGTAAAAGCTGCACTAGTTATTTTAAACAACGATTGAAACATATCATACGGTGAGAAATCACTTGATATTACAGAATAAATATGAAATGCAAAGAGAAAAGTTGGATCTGATACATATATGACACTAAATTTCTTTCTAAACAGTCCTGAGCTCACCCCATATAGTTCTGGAAGTAGAGCTCCTCTCGAGCCTTTGCGACAACATCAGCAACCAAGTCCGAATGCTTAAGCTTTAGATGCTTATGTACAAATTCTGGGCCATGAAATAATTTAGTGCATCCCTTGGCACCACATCCATACTTCCAGCCATACTTCTCATCTCGGATCTTACGCACAAAAGGATCTAGTGCTTCGTTGGCTGTCGTATCTAGCTTCTCCCTCCCAAGCATTGAAACAATAATATCGCCACTTTCTAGCCGTGTCTGCCAAGTTGTATCCAACTTTTTCTCCCAGTCAGCAAAGCCCGCCTCTTCTGCGTTGTTTTTGGGATCTCCGCTATTCTTGGCCTCCGGAGGCCTAATGTGCCGAAGCCGTTTGGGCTGTTCCTTATACTCTGTCATCCCATAATAATCCACAGCGTGCACTCGCCACAAATAAGTGAGCACAACTTCCAGGAGTTCAGTACCTTCTAATCCTTTCACTTGATTACCAGACCTCACTATCACAATAGGTCCAACTGAGCCACCACCCATGGTCCTCTCACTTCCAGCGCTCTGATCTACTGTCAAAAGATTTCCTTCGATACCCTTTTCAGCGTCCAACTTCTTGACGAGAGCTCGCCCAATACCAATATCCTTAAGGACTCTCTTAGGATCTGAACTTCCAGGATGTGCTTTTGGAGCCGCATTGATTTCCTGGGCTTTCACATGTTCCTGAGGGGGTCTTTTCCTCTTACTACTGCCGTCTGCATCATCCCCCGAGTCATCTTTTGCTGAAGATCGTACACTTGGACCCCTGAACAAGAAGCCGACCACATACGATTTTCAATAACACTGTTATGAACATGACGATAAAAGCCAAATGTGAACGTTATGTTGTACCCTAAACTGGTTGCACATGTTGCAAAATAGAACTTACAGATCCAGAGAGCCTGTTTGAAGCTCAGCTAGCAGCTCCTTAGATAAAATCTTGGCATTTTCATTTCTCCTGCAATAGCACAATGTACCACGATAACTATTTTCAGTTTAGTTATATAAAAACTTCATGCGCATCATAACCCAGACGTGAGCTCGCTTTGACACTGCACGTCAACTTAATTGCTTTTGAAGAGGATCGACACAATGAACCAATGTCTCACCGTACTAGAACAATCTCTAATCTTGCTGGGTCGTACTTCTCACGCAACCTGACGGAAAACGATATCAATCCAGGTCAGCGACGGAAGATTTCTGAACACAGAGAGGTGTATACAAGCAATACCAATTACTCGAAATCTGATACATACAAAGTGCAAGCAGCAACAGGCAATCCCAGCTCTGGTCTTTCCGATAAATTACCATTCGTCATCCTTGTGCTGTTCGAAAAAAGCCCTTTTATGAGTTGTGATGAACTCTGACTTGTACTCTTCATACCTGCAAGGATACTTGGTGTATGAGGTACGGTAAGTCTCAATAAATATCCAAAAATTGAAAGCATCTCCTGAACAATCTGAGTTCGTAATTTTTGATTCTAAACTGAAGCTAGCGCGACCAATACCTCTCCAAAATCTTGCTACATTCTGGACAGATTCTCAGAAACGTCCATCCTCACAACCATTATTCACAACAAATTGATCATAGCAAAAAATGGAACACATTATCATCTATTTCTGCAAGTGACAAGCAGCTTTATACAACATCCATTAAGAGCATACGATTGTGTGAGACACGTATTTGTTACCACAAACAAAAAACCGACTTGAGAACATCTCAAGATGAAACCTAATTGAAACCAGGACACACAACCCGAAGAATTGGTAATCTACCTGCGCTCGGCTTCTCCAGGTAGTATATCATCCTCAAGCTCCACGATAAATTGTTTGTATGACATCAACCCGTCTCTGCGAAAATTTCAAGGTCAATTGCTGACAAATTCCTATTCAGAAGAACCTTAATAATTGATGTTAATTTCCAAAATCACTGAATCATTAACTGTTTAAAAATAAAAATAAAAAACACATGCGAAACCAAACCTTCGCGGCGGAGGTCCACCACCGTACATGCTCGGGAACGACCCATCCCTGAAACTTCCACGACCTGATCACGGCATTTTATGGTACACACACCATTAGAACCGATATAGACCAAATGATGACGCTGTAAACCCAAATATTTGACTAACGCCTGTTAAATGAGTAAAATAAAACTATTCAACATCATTCATTACATGCATTTTTCCCTTGGTTCACCTATGTAGATAATTACACACTCAGGACTAGCTTTTCTTCAACTTTCTTTAACTCACCTCGCCCGTATGCACTGACCCCATCAAATCCTCCATACCTGCAACAAGTAGCAATGAGACATCAGCAAAACGAATACAAATTGATCCCCACTCCTGTCAAAATCCCTTACACCATGTAACTAAACCGTTAGAGACTGGGAGCTAAAATCACCTGATGATATCCCAAGTATGCAACTAGCATCAACTTACATGGGTCGAGCAGAGCCCAATGACAGTCTTGACCAGCTCGCATATAAACATGGAAAGACTTAATAACACTTAAAGGGCACTGCTCCTCATTAAGCTGCAAAGCAGCAGCACCTTCATCGGCAAAGATCGTAGCATGGCACGTCATAATCCTCTTGCTTGCCACTGAGTGGGCGCTGCTCTCTGTCTGCCCTAATATTTTCTACGTACTGCAACTGAGAAACTGAGCAACTCGGCAAGATGGTTGGAAAGGGCTGAATCGCTAACTCTCTTCTCTCCGGCAATGAACTACGAGAGTCCTCAAGCAGAGAGGGCAGCTCCGCTCAAACTAAAACTGCTAAAGAACTGAAATGCGAGAAGCTGGGAATCCTCACTATCTCTCAACAGATGCTAGAAGATCGGCAGATATGAGATGTCCTTTCACAATCATCAAAATCCCTGTATCAACATCGAGGTGTCAGTTACTCCCAGTTACTCCCTAGACTGTTCAAAAAATGGTTTACCATCTCGCAAGCACATCATGTGCTCACGAGAACATCCTCATCACAGACTATTAGACTCAGCCGTCCGCTTCCAAAGACAACCGTGTATAATATCACACACATTTGTCAGAGTCTATCTAAAAGATGACATCATATTTGATAAATCAAAGATAATGCGATCCATAGTGGAGACAATTAAGACTGTCAGCAGTGGAGCCATAATGTACTATCTGCACCAAGACACATGGCTATCCTGAAATTCAACGACGATGATCATTCAGCCACCGCAATATTGGTCCCAGTTAGAAGCACGCGTCTGTACTCTAGTTCCAGAGAGAAAAGAAACTTCTATTATCAAGCACCTCAGTATGCTGGTGTAAGTTCCATAAGTGTAAAAAAACTAGTAAGACAAGAAGCAGAGGAGTACCCAATGTCGCTGTGTGAAATGCATCGCAGTACCAGGAAAAAGAAAGTGCAGTACTAGATAGGATATGCATAAAATTAAAATGAACATAGGCACAAAAAATGACTTGCGTTCAAGAGAAAGAAAATCAATTAGTAAATAAATAAATAAAATGAAATGTCGTTAAGAGGATACCTGCGATCGTCCCCAGGACTCCCTCTGCGGCCATCAAACTCATCATCCCTGAGACGTTTGTAAGGAGGAGAAGACCTCCGAGGACTATGCCGTCGGTCTCTGTAAGACCCGTCAGCGGGAGGCGTACCGCTCTTCCTGCGCTTGTAATCCCTGTCCCTGTCTCGGCGGTCCCCGTCCCGTCTTCCTCTTTCATCTCTATCATCTCTGCGATCCCGGTCGCGCCGTCTATCCTCAGAGCCTCGGTCCCTCGACCGATCACGACGACTTTCTTCCTTCACCACTGGCTCCTGCGGCAGGTCTGCCATTGCACCCTGTCCGGCCAAATACTCTAACTCCCTTGCCACAACTTCTTCGCAGCGCAAAGACGAAAAAGGAAGTAACAAAACCAAACCTCTTCCTAATCAACAAAATTCTCCCGAACCGAGCTTCACCGCCAAAACTCCGAAATCGAAGGCAACGAAACGAAATTCGTCCGTAGCCACAAACAAAACCCTCAGTGAACCCTCTCCTCGAACAGTCACCGAAACTGAACAGACATAAAAAAAGAAAGAAAAAAGAAGAAAAAAAGGTCTTGGAAACGGCTAAGAAAAGCCTTCGGAAATCGAAGACGAAAACCCGAGAAGTTGAACAATAGCCAGCGAGGCGAGAGCAGTTCAGGAGACGAGAGCGAAAAGAAAGAAAGTCGAATGTTGGAAGATCCCGAAGGAAGCAAACCCTAGCATGAAGGTCGACGAGCGACGGGCAAGATGGGCGAGATGTGGACGAGATGTGGACGAGATGTGGACGAGAGACGGACGTCACATAAAAGATCGGCAACGAGAAGGGGTATTTCGCTCCCCTTCTCTGGTATCCGTCTTATCCTTGGTCTTTCTACATTTGCTTTTCTTAAGCACCTCCAATGCAGTTACACGTGTCGTAGTCCTTAACTTTTCGGTTTTTTTAAACAGTGAATATTAACTTTCCAGTGAGTCAATCCCTCTCGTTCTATCTCTGTATATAAACAAGAATCTGAATAAGAGAAGACTGTGGGGCCACCGACATTGCGAAAAGAAAACTGAAAGTTTAGATCAAGTTGTCAAATTATATCATCATGCCTAACTTTTGTAATGATTTGATAACCTAATTTAATATTATTCCTAATTCACTTTAAACCAAAATTACCGAAAGGGTAAAACCACAACTGAAATTCTATAATTATCTGCCGTAAAATCTAAGTATATGAAAACGATTAATGTATTCAGTTTCAACATTTCAGAGTTTTTTTTTGTAAGAAATCTAATCTGAAAAAATTTAGTTGGCATTGCCAAAACAAAAAAAAAACCTAATTAAATCCTTTACATGATAAATGTTTCTTCTAATGCTTTTCAAACCTTTTATGCATTTTAAAAATAGAATCTCCATATACAATATGAATCTTATATTTAGAGAAATGATGAAGTGATCCAATTTTTTTCTAAATTGACCCAAATGTTTAAGGTATCATATCCTTTCAACCCCATTCCCATTCCTAACTATTCTCCTATTTCAATTATCATCTCAATTCCCATTTGTTCCCATGTTCCCAACTATTGTCTCCACTCTCGACATTTCCAGACCCCCGCCTCCATCCTTAGCAACGGTTGGGAATGGAGAATGGGTGGGAATAGGGATAGGGATTGCAAGGGTGAAATGATGATTAAGATAGAGTGGGTTGCTTTAACATTCCCCTATCAAAATATATATATATATATATATATATATATATAAGAACCAACATCAAAGACAAATACAAAGAAGTTCACAATATTCTATACAAATTAGCCAAATCAAAATATTTATTAAGATATATGGCACAACATGTAAAAAATATCAATATTTATTATTTTAAAATATTAATATTTTAATAAACATTAATTTACATTTATAGAAAATTGACTATAAAATATTTTTTTAAAGTTGTTTTTAAATTGAATGAATAGATTGTTATTGAATTGAAATTTTGTAAAAATTAAATTATTTTGATATTTATATATTATCCTTAGGTACATTATATTTGCCTAAGTAGAATACAACTTATTCAAATAAAATGTTAAGAACTATTTTAGATGTTTCTAGCAATTGTATAGAAAAAATATCTTATTACAAATATTGTAATATGTATTTTGTGTTAAGAAAATAAGATAATATTTTTAAATGTATAGTTGTAACAGAACAATTATGAGATGATAGAAAGTAGTTATTGAGTTTTAAATGCAAAAATGCTCTTCTTATGTAGCTCTATTCATATTCACATTCTCCATATACATTCATTTGTATTATATATTGGACTTAATAAAAGATAAATGTGACAAGTTGTGTCCTAAATTACTATGTATAGGATCAAATTATCAATATTTTACATTAATAAGGTCTAGAAATTAACTATCTTATAGCAATAAGATTTTATATATTTGATTTAGAACCTTAAAACTTAAATATCAATATACTATTTAAAACTCATCAAATGGGCATCATATTACTTATTAGTAAGTCCTTCTTTTGTAAAACATGGTCTTACTTGTCTTATGTTAAGTAATATAGGACATAGATTATAATATTAATAAAAAAAATATAAAAGAAAGCTTTAATCCTTATACATGCTAGAATTGCACAAGATGGATAGCCTTGCATTTAGAGCTCAATAATTCCTTATTGCCATCCAAGACTAGTTTGTAGGTGTTCTAAGTATCTTACATTAGAAAGGCAATGTAGATAGATAATGTCCTATTTTTTGATGAAATGTCTTATATTAGAAGGGTATATTTATTAGTATGTTTTAATTTGAATAAATATTTTAAATTATATTTTATAATATTTAAAAAATAATAATATATTTCTAAAAATAAAATTTATTATAATATAATATTTAAAAAATATATTATTTCTAAACTAAAAAATTAGTGTGATGTTACATATTAGGGAATCTAATAAAAGAATCATTTATTCAAGAAATTACTTACATCCATAAAAATACAATATTTAATTAAATACCAATTAATAATATATAATTGTATAATACATAAGAACATATATATTAATAATACATAAGATGGCTTATTTGTCTAACTTAAGACATTATTAAAAAGATGTCACTTATTTATGAAATTTAAAAAAATATATAAAGAAAATTTATAGATATGTATATCTATATATATATATATATATATATATTTAAATAAATAAATAATTAATTATATGTATATTTATTTATTGAATTATATTCTATCATTCTTTCAACAATTGCTTCAATTGATTTATGTTGCATTAAATGTATATTGTAAATAAATCTACTTCTAATTGATGTACAAGATTTAAGACTATAAATTATTAAGTACAATAATTAAAGAATTTACATCTATTTTTCTCCTTTATATATATACTAGTTGAAATCCATATTATTTGATATTACAATCTCTAGTACATTCATCTGCTCCTTTGTTCATCCATGCTCTCTTGTTCTCATATTTCACATTCTATAGTTTTTTTGTTTCCATATTCCTTGATTTTCATGTTTCTTCATTCCTATGTCCTTAGATTTTTATGTTCCTTAAGTTTATTGCATTCTCCATGGCCAATCAAAAGATTTATTTATTTATTTATTTTTTTATTTCTTTGTCATATATCTAAGTTGTTTTATATATATACATACATGTATCAATTTTATCAAATATTTATATATTTAAAAATATATCTATTATTCTTTTATAATTTCTATTTTAATAAAAATAATTATAAAAAACTTCAAAAAAATCTTGCATTATATGTATTAGCAACTAAAGAAATATATATATATATATATATATATATATATATATATAATTTTTATAAAATATTTTAGTAATTTGGATAATTTTAAAATTTTATTATATTTTTAAAATTTTATTAAAATACCAAGTGTTATTTAATAAGACCTATAAATATACTATGGTATAAAATTTATATCTATATATATATATCTATATATATATATATATATATATAGCCAATATTTCATGTGATTTCTTTTGATATTATTTTTTTTGGATTGACAAGACTTCTTATTATAAACAAAAGAAATAGATTTAAAATATTAATGTAAAAAATAAAATTAAATAAAGTTAAATACAAATAATTTAATACTAGTTTAATTTTGAGAAATAATAAAAAAAATACAAAATAAATGAAGTCTTTGACTAACAAGTCAAATATCATTTAATCCATATTTTTTTATATATCGGATAAAATATTGATGAAAGTTTGTCTTTATTTTATCTTTATTCTTAATTCAATCAATCTATATAAATCATGTTTTTCAAATGCAAAGTCAATATGAGATGATGCACCTTATAGGAAATAATATAATTTTTTGAAAATAAATTTAATATTAATATAAATTATATATATTTAAATCTACTTTGGTCTTGATTATCTTTTAATGTTACATTTTTTAAAAAATTGTATAGATCAAAAAACATACAATAAGAATATTTAACTTTTTAATATCTAAATGTAGATATTATCATTTTTCATTTAATTTCTACATTAATTCTTGCTATTTTAGTAGAATAAGTCTTACCAAATGTATCCTTTCTATTTAATAAATATTCATCCATCTTCCTTGCTCTTGACCATTGATTTTGTGTTCATAACCATTAACCAATATTATTAGTCAACATCGTTGACTGAAATGTTAATAAATTGGAGTTGTATAATATATAGGATTATGTCTAAACCATCAAAATCTATGATATAAAGAGCCCATATTGTTGCTTAATAATTTTTTGCCAAATGTCTACAAAGAAACTATTAAGATATTCAATACTTTTGCAAGTATTGGTAGAAGACCACATATGCATTGCCTTAAAAGATTCTTAGCTAATATTTATAACATAGTGGTAGCAAGAGATGTTTTCACATTCATCAAATTATACAAGTCTTTATATTGTACCAAAAATATCAATGTTATTGATAATAACAAAAGTTATAATGATTATAGTGAAACTACTTATTATAACCTAAGTCTCTACTATTGAGCTTGATGATAGAAATATGTAGCTTTTTATGTATCTACATATAGAATAGTGGAACAATTGAATAATATATTAGAATGGATCAAACTCTTCCTTGTAACAATAACATTGTCACGGACACAAAATACAGACTTGAAATCTAACAAGAAGTTCAAGAAGAAGTGGCAGAACTAGATTAAACAGATGAGTACAAGAACAACACCAGAAAGGTGAGCTAGAACTCCAAGAGATGTATTGTCGAGACTGAAGAACCCTTCAGCCTCGACTCCTATATATACTACTGAATAGGAAGCTTCTCGAGCTACTTCCGCTAACTAGGACGATTCTCCAACAACTTCTACTAATTATGAAACTTCTCGAGCAACTTCCTAGAATCTATCAGAATATTCTAGAACCTTCTAAGAGAATCTTTAGGGGATATTCTAAGAATCTTCTAGAACCTTCTAAAGGAATCTTTAGAGAATCTTTAGAGAATATTCTAGAAGAATATTCGAAGAATCTTCCAATGCATGTCCATGACATCACCTCCTCTTCTAACTTCGAGGTCTCCGAGAAACAATGTTGTTATCAGTCAATACGAACGCAAGAAAATGAAAATCTGTCGCATCACATCCGCTATGAATTCCAATTGTTGTTCGCGAGGCAAATGATTCATCGGCCCTTGGAG